TTATGGAAATCCATTTATCAACTCCATGCACTAATCTAGGATGAACAATCATCCATAACAATTAGTAAATTGACAATTGTATGAAGATTGTCTACACAAAACCAACTTTGAATTTTGACTATATTCGATGGAAGAATAAAAATTTATGTACATCCTTCTTCATAGGCAATGGTAAGAGACAATGCAGATTTTCAAAACTCAGTTTGCCCAAATAGATAAGATCGTGGTGCAGTGGCGCACCGCCATCCCAAACGAACCGTAATGCATATTTTTTAGCATGCACCTCGCAGAGTCATATTGTGCAATGTCCAACTTTTGGACATTATTAATGATGATGCTCTGATCATCATGATGAACAATGACACAATCTTTAAAGTAGAATAGCATATACTTCCATGCATAATGTTTGAAAGTGCCTTAATAAAAACATACTCGAGTTTTGTATTCTTGAAAATATTTTCTCAAACAACGTATTGCTTATCATTTTATTAAAGCTCATTACCAAATAAAAGCTCCACAAGATTCAATCTAATTTCCAAAATAAATAAAAGTCAGGAATGTCGTGTTTTTCAATATGTTATTAAATATAATAATACACATCATTTGTATTATTACAGAACATCTTTAACAATATTTAATGAATCAGAACATAGAAAAGTTATATTTTAGAAGCTTTAAAGTAGTCTCGAAACTGAACATCTCAATACGAAGAAAATAATCAAGCCACCACGCTGCCATAGACGTCATCGATGAGCAAAGCTTATATTTTTTATTAAACCCGTTAACATGATTATCAGAAATAAATTAATGTCATTAATTGCTCTGATATTGTGTCATTAACGTCGATTTCATATGCTAATATCTAAACTTAATTTCTATTCTTAATTTAGTTTTTTTTTTTTTCTATTTTAATCCAAATCTTAGAATATTATTATAAATACGACTCTATTTATATAAAGGAGAATAAGCACCAAGAAATACAAACCACTTTTCTATTATTAGTTTTAACTTTTAAAAAATTTAAAATATTTTTTTTTACGCAAAGATGAGGATATATATATATATATCTCATCTCACCTTAAGATGTTAGTAATAATTGCATATATATATATATATATATATATATATATATATATAAAAGAATTAAGGTATAGGCCCTAAATATGTAAATGTTTAGGAATAAGTGGTATGTACGCAATTCTTCGTTATAATTAGTTTTAAAATACAGGGTCCAGATCTAATCCCATCCGCATAACTCGAAATCCGACTTGGCTTTCTTCTAGGGTTTCGATATTCTAGACGGCCATCTCCCACCGCCTCCAAGAACCCTCAGAAGTTGATACAAGGCGCGAAGATGAAGACGATCCTCTCATCTCAAACGATGGATATTCCGGAAGAGGTCACCGTCAAGGTCAAAGCTAAAATTGTAGAGGTGGAGGGACCTCGTGGCAAGCTTACGCGCAATTTCAAGCACCTTAACCTCGACTTTGAACTTGTTGAGGGGGGAAAGAAGCTCAAGGTGGACGCTTGGTTCGGATCCCGGAAGGCGACGGCGGCGATCCGCACGGCCATCAGCCATGTTCAGAATCTGATCACCGGTGTGACTAAGGGTTACCGGTATAAGATGCGCTTCGTGTATGCTCACTTCCCTATCAATGCCAGCATCACTAACTCCAGTTCTTCCATTGAAATTCGAAATTTTCTTGGTGAGAAGAAGGTATGCCCTTATTCGGACAAATTTTCTTGGTGAGAGTGGATATTTCAGCTATTGATTGTTTAGTTATATAAATTGTTTGGATTTATATTAGATGATGTGATACACTCACTCTTTGCACAGCTTTAACGAGTGCGTTGCACCATTGCATACTCAGCTTTGGCTCAAAACAATTTTTTGGTGTTCAAATTTCATGGTTCAATTTAGCCTCTGCTGCAATAACTAGGCAAGAGCATTGTGGCAAGAATGCTCGCTTATTATTTCTTGTGGGGGCATTTACATACAGAGCATGCAATTCTTATGTATTTACATTTCTCAAACCTAAAATTGCATATTTTCGCAAATAGTACTCAAATATTACTATTTTTTAAAGGTGAAATATACCTTTTCACGCATAAGCTTAAAGCACCAAAGTGCAATGTATGTAAATATGAAAATTTAGATGTGGGATATGTAAATACATAAGAATTGTGTGCTACGTATGTAAAGTTTCCTTTTTTTATGATCACTAAGAAGTTGCTCATTATTTTTCTTTTCCACTTTGTCCCCCTTCAGTTTTCTCGTACTCTTCTCATTGGTTATTGTTGTTGTTGCTATTAGCTAACAAGCATTATCTTCAAGTATGCTTCTTGATGTCTCCCATTCACACCGTCTCACTTAATGTTGCTCCCAACTCTGAGTTTTTAGTTGATATCTCAATCTAACGAGTATTGTTGATTTTTAAGATAATATTTTACCACTTTATTATATATATCTTTGATTTTTTTCTTTTAAATAGTTGAGATTTGTGTTATTGGATGTGTCATTATATTTGTTGAATATTTTTATCTAATGTAAGTTTGGCTAATTAAATGACTATTATTGATATGCAAGCCATGGTCTTTCTAGTTTGTCAAGCATGCTTTGCTTTGCACTTTATGCATTTAAGCAAAAATACCCCTGTGTACTGCATGAAAGAGTGGTCTTATAACTTGTGGCAAGGATGATAGGAACAAATAGAGCATGACATGGTGGGGCAATTTAGTGGGGTATGGGGGAAGGAATATTATTTTTTGGAATCATTAAACATATTGTGTCATCCTTTTTCATGACTATAAAACCGTCAAAGTTAAGGTTATTTTATTTAAATTAATGGTGATCAATAACCTACAAAATGTACCAAGTAAAATGTCAAATGGGGTTTGTGCAATTTTTGATATAGCAATTTTTGGAAGATCGAGCAATGAGTCATTATTTTGGGCTGGTTGGTTGGATGTATTTCAGATCTTATTGATGAGAAGTTTGCTCGAGCATAATGTCAAGCTATTGGAGTGATAGATCTTAGAGTCTGTTTGGGCTACAGGTGCTAATTCGAGTCAGCGGATTGGGTTCGAGTCTCACCCGAAAATGATCTGACCCTAATAGGGTCAACTCGAAAACGACAGAATAATAAACGGGTCAAAAAGTAAGTTCCCAACCCGACCCAAACCCGAGCTTAACTTGTTAAACTGAGCTGACCCGAAATTTTGTTCTTATTCGGGTCATGTTTGGGTTTTCGGGTTTAACCCGAACCCGACCTTATTAATAAACATGTCGATTTCTCTGTCCTGAACCCGACTTGAAAAATATTCAGGTCAACTCTAACTCAAATTTTTTTAGTCAAGTTCGAGTTGTGTTGCCGTGCTGGATCAATTTTTGACACCCCTAGACTTTGGGACATTCTTTGTTATTTTTGTTTACAAATCACAACCACGCTAAAATTTGACTAACAAATTCAAGACCACAATTTAAAAAATTATTATTTAGTTGTTTTTTCTTGTGATTGTCTTCATCATCTTATGTTTTAGCATTGCTGATACATTTCACTATTTTTCAATCCAAGATTTATAATCCCAATCAATGTTTAAAACTGCGTGATTGGGTGTTAAGACATTTTTTTTTTGTGATGTAAAACGTAAGCTTGTAGGCATTCTAAGGTGTAAATCTCAATGTTAGAAACTTGCAAATAAAGATGAAAATTAATATATAAGCATCATACATATATTAAAATATGATTTTTTAACATCCTAATATAGTAAGGACAATGACAAATTGTACCTATATCAAATAATAAATTACATAAACTACAAAATATAAAACAACAAGCAACAAAAAAAGTACAAAGCAAAAATGTAGTGCAAACCGCTGACATCAATTCATAAAACCAAAATAAGTCATCAAATGAAAGTATTATAAATTATAAAAGCAAAGTAAAGTCATAAAATAAGTTTATCCTATTAAATTTTTCTCACTCATATTTTCTAACACAAAAATATTCAAATAAGAATATAATAAATGATTAAAAACCCTCAACACACTTATCTTTTATGGTGTCTTCATTGATGTCATCATAAAATGAATAATTTTTTCTTCTCTTCTTCACTTCAATTGAATCCATTATATCTTCTCTTCAATTCTAGTCATTTTTTTCATCTTTAATGAGTAATAATCAATTAACAATTAAAAACATTAATTAAAGTATAAGAAAACTTCGAATAATAAATTTTTTGTGGATGCATTTTTTTTTTCATCTCTTATTTTCTTGTGATTAATGTGCTAGCCTTGCTCATGTCTTCATTAAATAATTTAACATTTGGATCTTATTATACTCATATGATGCTATCTCTTTGTCATCATCCTACAAATCATTCGTCATCTGTGAAATATCTTCACATTGAAAGGGATGTCATTATCCTTCAAACTTTTATTCTTCATATTTATGTTCTTCAATCTCTTGCTATACATGGTATACGCTAAGAACTCATTCTTAAAGTCGTCACATGTTTTTTTTTTTTGTAATTTAAATTATATCTGCTCCATTCCAGTTGCACTCACATCCAGGTGATAAGCATGTAAATCTCAGTACTTTAACATCAAAACATTGTAGTTTTTGAGTGTCACGTTAAATTGGATGCACAATTAACTATATTTGAAAGAAAATAATATAGTTAGAGCTTAAAAGTTAAATTTTAAGTTATTATTTATTTTAATGAGACGTTAAAAGTTAAAAATTATTTGGAAAAAAACATTTTGCAACAATATGTTTAGCTTGTTATATATATCCCAAAGTAATTTTCTTTATTTCTAAATAGAATCATTTACATATCAGTAGTTGCTCTCTCAATTGAGTCAGCAACTTGATCTCGAAATTGGTAGACTTATTCTTAATATATTGAAATTGATGAATAAGAAAATATCCAGAAGTATGCAAATGGCACTGGAGTTGAAGTTCCCATTTCTCATCAATGATATTTAAAATCTCCCTAGAATTGACCTCTCTTCTTAAGTTACAGGCTATTAATTTTTTGATCTCATCAATTGCCTTATAAATAAAACTAATTGCTGGCCTTTCTTTGTATTCATCATTTTGAAAATTTGAATTAATAATCTTGTGATTTTCTTTTCTATATGTGACATTAGATCAAAATCTTTTATTTAAAATAATTTTTTGACCTCTTTCCATTTTTTTGGCCTTTACAGTTAAGCCATTTAATAGAAGTGAATATTGTCTCAAATGATTGCTTAACTTCTAACATGCTCTATGTAGTTACATGGGTTGTGGCAAATTTTATTTTAGCACAGCCTAGAAGTTCTTTCCAAAAAATTTTATTCATCAATGATAATAACATGAATAGTATTAAATGAATTAACTAATTTTTTTAATTTCTTACCCTCTAAATTTTTTTGGCCTATATAGTTAAGCAATTTAATAGAATTGAATATTGTCTGAAATGATTGCTTAACTTCACACGCTTTATGTAGTCAGATGGGTTATGGTAAATTTTGTTTTGGAAGGGCGTAGAAAATTTCTCAAAGAAAATTTTTTCATCAAAGATAATACACATGAATAGTTTTAAATGAATTTGCTAATCTTTTTTGCTTTCTTTAGATCATTTTTATATTGGAACAAATCATCAAGCTTCTCAAAATTCAGGTCTATGCAATTTGTAGTATAATGTGTTTGGTAGAGTTGTTTTCTCTTTTACATTAACTTAATCTCATATGCCCTATATACATTACCTGGACCATAAAATGCTTTCCAATTTTCTATATTATTTCATCAAACAATCTAAAAGTTTACTCTAAATCATTCATCTGACCTAACGCTTCTACATAGTTCAAAAATACAATATAAGAGATTATTTTTTAGAATTTTTATGAAATTTGTATGATTTATATGAGATCACCTTTTTGATATGATTGTTATTCCTGTTTGACTTCTCCTTTTTTATAACCTGTATGTATTTCTCTATATTTTTTTAGTTCTTCTAGCACATGTTTTTAAATTATATGCCCTCCATTATACGTGCTTATGGAATGGATCATATTAAAATAAAGGGTGGTTGCCACTGTAAAGCTCGACTTTTTTGAAACATTAGCGTTATCAGAGGAAATGAATCAAGTTTTCAAGAAAAGACTTGAAAGGACAGAAGAACAAGTGGTGCTGTAAGACAAA